ACTCTTCCTAAATGAATGGTCATATTAACATAGGGTTTTCACCAGAAGACTTAAAATTATAAAATCTTGCATCCATTATGGCTGCCATGGTGGCCATTTTGAAAATTATCTTTTTCATCCAGAATGTCAGAGAGAGTTTCCACACATTTCAGATAACAAAAAGAATCAGTAATTGGTTTCTGGAAATTTACTTTGGCCAGCGAAGTATCATTGCTTGAAGGAGCTCGTGTTTTAAATAACTTGGCTGTAATGCGAAGTAAGCTTTTGCTATTAACAACTTTTGCTTATGCTTTTGGTGTTGCCCTTAATCCATCATGCATCTTGTGTCCATCGGCAACTGCTATATTAATCAGACACATTAATTTCAACCCTACTTGTCAACCTTGTAAATAAGTCTAGGTTTAAAACATTGCATGTTTGTTTTATGGTTTTGAGTTAGAGAAGCTTATTCTTATTATTTAATATGGTGAAAGTAAAGATTTTTTAATTTATTGAAACTAAATTGTATTGACATGTTATTTTAGATTTCTTTCTTTCAGTCTTGGTCATGTTTTCTTTCTTATCAACATCTCTAATCAGAAGGTTGTATTCCTTCACATCTATGCTTTTGTGTAAAGCAGTGCTTTCATTAGTCTTACCAGCAGTCATTGACTCATGAACCAAATAATAAAATGGATCAGTTGAGCCCAGGTGCACATGAAAAGGGTCTGACAAGGTCTTATTCATAAGATATACAAAAGAAGACTTCCATGACTTTACTTGTATAAACAATTTTTCATTATGACCATGAGCTGCATCAGTACAAGTGTGGTAAAAAAGTAACCCCTACTGCATTACACACAGCTAAAGTTTTCAATCAGGCCTATATTATTGATTGTGTCTATACTACAAATTCTTGTGTAACTGTAGAAATAGGAATATTTATCCCCACTACAATGATTTTATTTTCTGTGGCATAGTTAGTCTAAAATAATTTTGTATCAACTATTTTTATATTTAAAAAATTACTGCACTATATATAAATGGCAAAAAATCACAGATTGATATGCATAGTATTTATAAAGAATATACTGACATATCAAACTGTGGCCAGTGTTACAGAAAAGGATTAAATTACTGTTTCACTTAAATGTATCATAACATTAGTCAGACTTGTTAAAACATAATCTGGACATATTGATAATTTATTCAACTTAGAAATTGTCTTGGAGTAGAAATAATATACTGGTAAACACGACTTAGGAGGGAAAAAATCCTGGAAAGTCCTTCTTTGATATTGTTTAGAAAGAAACTGATGTAGCTGATATTTAAACAATCCAAAATGACTAAATACTGCAATGATGATGATAGTGATGCCATTATAAACATTCATTGAATATAGTAGCCTAAGAGTGAAAGATCATCGAGAATTAGAGATATCTTTAGCAGTACTGTAGTATATTGAATTAGGATCAACACCTATACATGAATATGAGACTTTCTTTGACAATGAAGAATCTAAGCAATTGATGCAGTGTTACAAGTTTTGTGGAGAGAAATTCACATGCAAAGAGAAAACCTCTAGTGTCAATATACAAGCAGTGCTTGACATTTAAGAACATCAGATGTAATTGTACAAGCGGTGGTCATTTACGTATTATGATACATTGTGTTCATAAGAATCAGCACGCAATGACTTGATCAGATACTGAATTAAAGAAAATTATGTTCAAAGACAAAATTATATTTGACATTAATCCTCGGTTTATACAGACTGGTGCAAATATGTTTTTAAAATGCACTACCCAATGTTTGCAAACTACTTGCACAGCTGTTTATTTTACAGCAAAAGGCCATACAATCAAAAACTGACTACTGTAAGTATTTTTAAGACCATATGTATATGCTAAGAAGTACATATGTATGATGATGCATACGCCATCATTTCCCCAAAAAATGAGGGTCCCTGTACGACTGACTGATCTCAAAAGCTCACCTTTACCATTCACTGTCATCTCACTTTTGCATGGATTCAAATCACAGGTTCAGCCAATGTCAGTCTGCGAGAGAGCTTACCAGTAGATTCTCATGGGTTGGCTGTTCTTATTGGGGTTTTTCCGAGGTACTTCATCTGGTCACTCTCTATATCCCATAATATGCTACAAATTAGTGTTAAACCCAAAACAACAATTAGAAACATAAATGATGATTTTTATGAAAACACAGATGATTATTTCTGTTAGAATAATATTAGTAAATATATAATGTTCAGTCGCAATGGTCGGTAATGATTGTAGAAGTGTTAGCTTTGAAAAATATTAACTAGTAAGTAGAACTAGCTATTATATATACTGTAAATTACATTTGCTCACAGGACATGTTGGTATAGGTGTCTTAAATGCGGCATCTGAGTTGAATCACATAACCAGCTTTGCTGACCTTGCAGATCTGTTCATGAGTATTATTGTGCACTCCGACAAAGATTCGCTAGATATGTCAATAAAAATACCCAGTAACATTAACATTGTTGAGGAATCACATATCTTGATGAAGTAATAGCCACGGTTGAAGCGATTTTAGTTAATGATCTTTGATACAGTAAACAAATTAAAACACAATTGTTGATGAAATTTGCAAATTAGAGAAAGATTTTCCCTTATATATCAGTATGCTGACTGATTCAGCTAAGGCAACTCGCATGTGACTGTCGGATACAAATACCAGACCATATGTGAGAAACTGAATGACTTCCATTATTTGGACCATAATTGGATGTGCACGAAATTTCCCTAGATCAGCAATAACTGGTTGTCCAGGATCAACGAAATGCATTGACATCATTACAAGTAAACAAGTCGCGTTTAAGCATAATATACAAATACCAAGTTACACAAGAAAAACTGACATTTTCAATATCAGATATTATAGCCAAACCACTTCAGGCTGAGAAACTGCAACACATTTGAATATCCAAATTCCTCCAAGAGCTGAAACTTCAGGCGTGGTTGTGGATGAACAAAACAATTGTTGTATTGCAATCGAAGCTGCATCATATGTTCATGAACAAGACTGACATCACTGTATTGCACATACCATTATTAGTAAGGCTGCCTCAAAAGTACAGCAATTACAAATACCCAAGTACATGTATAAGTTTCACAAGTGTCATGGTGACTTAAAAACTGTTAGGCAATTATTGAAAATCATATTGATGTTACAAAATTGGAATTGAAGTATATAATGTCTTCATGTGCATTTGAATCAGACACTTCACTATAATACGAATAGATTATAAATAACCTTATAGCTTAATGGTAATCCTCTTATAAGCTTAAACAGTACAGACCCTAGAGCTGTTAATGACAAAGTCTATTAAAGGTTTAAAATGATTCTTAAGATGTTGAAAAAATGGATGCACACATTTTCAGAATGGACTTTTGAAAGATTCGTGCTAGATGAAGTGCACATTCTGCCACCAGTCGGCGACCCTGCGACAAGTCGGCAACAAGAAGACCCAGTCTGCAACCGTTCGACCAGTCGGAGATCGAGACTGCGACAGTCAACGACTCTGCGACATGTCGGCGACCCTGTGACCAAGTCGGCGACACACAAGAAGCCAGGAATAAGAGAGTATCCCGCTGAGGTAGGAATCTGTCACACTGGACTGCCAGTCATCAGACATATTCAGCCGGGTATCACTCCTAATACAAGACCTATCATAAAAAATCAGAGATAGCGAGACCCGGAGCAGTGAAGCCGAGGGAGTGTTCTGCTACAATACTCTATGTTCTAACATCGTGAAGCATAACTTTATGATTAAATGCATGCCTTACGGAAATTGCACAGTTCGAAACATAACTTGCTGAGCTATTGGGCTAAATATGTGGATAGAGGTGACCAAGCAGATAGTTTGTATTTTTGACTTTGAAAAAGTTTTGACATGTCCCACAACTTTTCATTGTTGAATTGCGCGCAAAGCTCTAACGCTGAATAGACGCTTTTAATATTTCCAAGAAAAATATATAGTAGCAAATGGTCCCAAATCCGGATAGTGTTACGAGTCTATGCCATTAAAATAAGCAACAGAAAAAGGTGAAATTCAACAAGCTTTGTAAAATTGAACAAATAATTTATTTGCCTTAAATACAATGTGAAAATTAAAAGAACTTAACGGTATTACAAATTAAATCCTAAAATAATCATAGAATTAAAGACACAATTCGTAATAATCTAAAATTCAGAATAAGCTTCATTAGAAATCCAAATTAAGTCCATTGCTAAAAATGTTGATGTGTCTGTGAGGACCTGAATAATGCTGATGTGCCAGCATTTGTTGAAATACAGCAATAAAATGCAAGGTTTGAATTCACATTAAATCCTAATGAATGTCTCTATCCAAGAATATTATCTTTTATGAGCTCTGTATTTACAGAGAAAACAATTGTCGAATTAAATAATTTGAAGAAATAAATTCCAAATGAATAATTGACACAACAATAATACAAACTGTTAACGATTGAATCATCTTTCCAGTCACAAGATTCTACAGCTCCCTACTTGACCTCAGGCAACAATTATAAAAACAACAAAAACAACGACGAATTAAAAAAGGTTACCTAATGGAAAATAACATTCTAGAAATTTCTTAATGATTACAACAAATATTTTATTATTAGTAAGTCTGCTAATAAAATTATAATATGTGACCTTGACAAAATCAGGTAAATTGTAGGGGAATCAGAATAACCTAGACGCAGACCCAAAATAACCATTTATTAAATAATAATAATCATGATAATAAACCCATGCATTTAGAGAATATTTTAGCTATGTATTGGTTGTTTACAGAATAGAAATATAAAACAATAATTCAGGTCAAGTAGGAAATATACTTGATTTTGGACAAGTTTTAGGCAATGTCATTTTACAATAACATAATGAAATATAAAAAAACAAAAACTAACAAACAATGCAAACTAAATAACAATAACAATTTGTACATCCTAATCTACAACCGCTCCGGTGGCCTTGTGGTTAGAGCGTCCGCCTGAGAAGCTGAAAATCGCGAGGTTCGAATCCCGACAGAGTCATATCAAAGCTTACAAATGTTACAAACGTTTTCCTCGCTATACGCTCAGCATTACGAGGTTAGTTTAAGGATAGTGTGACTGGTTAGGACATCATGCTACATGTCTGAGTTATGATTCCTTAGTTCGGAACATCACCGTAAACTGCTACAGTGCACTCAACGGATCGATATGATTGAACAATTGTTAAAACTTGGTTAAAAATCAAAATCATATATACACACACACGCGCGCGCGCATCCTAACTTGTGAACCTATCGCTTTTCACTACAAGCGACATTAAATGATTAGTTACATAAAATTTAAAGAAAAGTCATAAAGCTGCCTCTAGATACTGCTAAGACGTTTTCTTGTTCATGTAAAACCTAATTATATCCAAACTGAAACTATAATTTACAGTCACTATCAAAACTTAAAATCAATTCATACCGAATGACATTATGTCGATTAGCAGGTATAAGTTTAGACTATTGGACTCGCGGTACTAATTACATGCACAACTATGGACCAATCTAAAAGTGGGTGACAATTGATAATGAAATTTAAAGTTTCTGGCGAAAGAAAGTGACAAGATACTGTTGATGTAAATTTAGCATTTGTATGGACTTAGTTAAGGGAATAGCACCTGATTCGTTAGGCGTGGTATATATAAAGCATTTTATACGCATGAAGATGAGAAAAATATCGTTGCAGCGGGATATCTGGTTTTCACCACGCAGAGCTTGCAAAATGGATGAGTTTATGCTGCGGATCGGTTTGATCATGACCAATCAGAAATTAAATCAATCGAATTTTGAAAATCGTAGTGTTGCTATAGGTTTACTATAGAAGTTGAATTAGTATATTGAGTTCTAAACAGTGTTTCAAGTGCAGAAAAGTACTATTATCATCCTATGGCAACATTCTGTGTATAGTGAAAGTTGATGTTAACGGAAAGGAAATAGGGCAATTGTCACTAACAGAACTGCTGAAAAAAGAAAGAAAAAAACTCGATAAAGTCAAATAGGGTCAAATTTTATTGTCTCTACTTTTACCATTGTTGTTTTCGGTTTAACGTCTCTCTCTCTCTCTCTCTCTCTCTCTCTCTCTCTCTCTCTCTCTCTCTCTCTCTCTCTCTCTCTCTCTCTCTCTCTCTCTCTCTCTCTCTCTCTCTCTCGGCGTCGATAACGGTTAATGCGCTTGCAAACTGTAACTACATTTCTTTCTAAGAATTCATCACAGCCTGGAGCTTCCCTTTCCCCTCAATGTTTTAGTTTTGTGTTTGCTATCTGTCAAGTGCCTTTTCCAAAGACACTAGACAGCCGACATGGACTTCTTTGTGTGGGGATTACGAGTCCAACTTTCTACCAACTGAACTACCGCGGCTCCCTTTTTTCCTAGAAAAGGTTTGCAAATTATCAATTGCCTGGTTTAAACAAAAGGCTGGAGATATGTCGACCTTTATGTAAGTGAAACATATTTTATAATCTTTTCATTCTTCTCCCTCCTAACTTTCATCCATCCAGTCCTTTGTTGACCTCCCACACACTAAAATTCAAACATGTACCATATACAGCTCATTATGAAAACAAATGCTAAAACATATTTACGTATGTGTTGTATAGGCAGACAGGGAGGCAAGGCATCAAAATGTTTGCATATTTTCGTGTTAGACTTTTGTGATTTAGTAATATGAGCGACGAAATGCTGTCATAAATGTTTCTTTGGATTTCAATGAGTGAGCAAATATATGTCTAATATTTTCACAATTGTTTCGATGGCTTTGTGGAATTTTTATCATTAAGTAGGGGGGAAAAAGAAGAAGAAATCTCACAAAAACTAATCAAAATAACGCGATTACTGCAGAATGAAAACATGATTCTAAATTTGCTGCACACGAATCAGATCTGAAATACAACATAATGTGTTGAGACTGGTCTAATGTTTTAAAGCTGCAATATAGTTGACAAACTAATGTTAAATAAGTTGAAATTGAATTTACAGATTTCTTTATTCTCTAATCTTATCTAAGGCTTGAACTTGACATTTTTGATTACAAACAATCTGCTGGCATGAAAAGGGATGAAACCAATTACTGAGCCTACATTCCATGTTTTCTCTTAGAACACGGATTGCATGAAATCGTTTTCGATTTAAGATGGAAAGTGGATTATATGGAAATGGACAGAATTGAACATTGATTCTTGGAACAAATAGATCGAATTTCACTTTGGACCAAAATGCCATTTCCTATCATTTGGTTGGATTTCTTTTTCCAAGCTTTGTTACCTTCCTTGTCCATGCTTAAAGTTTTTGCTTAATACAAGGCTCGTATTCCCTTTCTCAAGCAATAGACTCTTATAATGGTTTAGATTCCCAGATAAAGTCAGAGATCCTTGCCAAGGATCGGGCTTTTGTCCATTTATGTGTGCATATTGAATACTATTTACCGATAAATGTTTATGGTGGGATTGAATTTCATAGATTACCTTTTTCTGTCGTCTTATTCCTCTTTTTTATTATGTGGTAAAGAGATCAGTGTCTTAGAAGGACAACATAATGCTGAAAGTTAAGGGTAGAATATTTCGCGTGTGGTAGAAGAACAGGCAAATGCTACGCCTATCCACTAGTACGCTTGTCTTCCTAGCATGCTTCCTACTCTATTCCACCCCTAACCTAAGGCAGTGGGAAAATATTTTGATAATGAAAGTTTGCGTATTCATCGTGTTAATCTTGATAACTCGCAGATGTTTGTCTTGTCTTTGTGTTCCACTCAATGATTATTGTTCTGCAGTGCTTGACATGGCAGTGCCGGATGGGGTAGGATCCTGACCTACCTCCTCCCGCTGCAAAAATTTAAAGTTACTTGTCACTTGAAATTTTGCCATCGATATTTTATTTTCTTGCGCACGTTTATTTGTTATTATGCACACTGAGTAAATCTGCTCATATACTTCTGTTTTGGTGCCCTTTCGAGGAAGGTCAGAGCTTTTTTGAAATTTTCCCCCCTTCTCCCCCGACTTTGCTTGCTTCTGCTCGTGTATTGTTAAGCCCCTCTTAGAAATATCAGTTTCACCCGTACTACCGCGCGTTAGCCAGTAGAATTGGCATAACACCATATTTTCTTTCTGAAAGGGACACGTCTGTTTTTCCTTTGTTTCCTGTATGAAGTGTTCGTATTAATCTATGCTAGGATCTGCAATTTTCCTATTCTTGTCGTTGTTGATGGTGTTGTTGTTGTTGTTGTTGTTGTTGTTGTTGTCGGCTTAACCCCTTTTTCAGCACATGATAGGCTAAACATGACGGCATAAATATGGTGATGTAGAAACTCGGGAAACCCAGGGAAAGATCCACCAAACAACTGGAAATTGCTGGCAACCTTTCTCAAATGCACACTTTCGCTGAGCTCGAGATTCAAGTCACGGGGAACGAGCGAGGTGATTCCGTGGTTTTAAAGACGAGCATCTTAGACCACTCAAGTACGTGAACCCATGATGTTCCTTTTTCATTTGTTAAATTGTTATTCAGAGTGGGGTTTTTTTCTTCCCTTCTTGGCGGAGAAGCCGTGCAGCTCCTATCTTAGGGACCCACTCTCCTACTGGAAGAGGTATGTCTGACTGCCTTTTCCAGGAATGCACCTACCCCAACCATTATTCCCGCCCACCCCCTCTGTATTTCAGTTGGACAGGACCACTCGGTACTAATATACTAAGCTAATTGCCCGTCCTAGGACTGGAATAAAAAAAAAGTGAAAATGTAAAATAATTGGGATAGGCAACTTTAAAAGAAAGTTTGAACATACAAATACAAAATAAAGTTTCAATAGAATTGTAATGTCGCGGCAAGTTTCGAACTCCTGACCTCTTGTTTGGTGGCCTGGACTCAAAGAAAGACAAATGTGGGTGTTTACATATGTCTAGGTTAATTGCCAGTCCAAGGACGAGAATTAAAAAAAATAATAAAATAAATAAATATATAACTAAATAAATAACTAAACTGGATGAGGGAGTTTAAAAGAAGTTTGAAGATAATTATTAAAAAATAAAATAATATATTGCGAATGCCGCGACGAGTTTCAAACTCATGACCTCTTATTTGACAGCCAGAACATATCGAAAGACAAATATGCAGTGGCGTCACTAGGGGGATGCGGACCGCACCGGGTGACACCATCAAAGAGGGTGACAACAAAATGACTGTCTATTCAATTTTTGAATTTTTGTGCAGGAAGGATGGTTTACACAAACAGTTATCGCACTGGGTGACACCAACTCTAGTGACGCCACTGAAAATATGGTTGTTTATGTATAAGATTTACCAGTGTTTCTACCATTCCATGCTTAAGTTTTTCTTTTCTTTCAAGTGGGACAAAATGTTCTACCACATCTGATCACGATATTCTGCCACATCTGATCATTATATATATATATATATATATATATATATATATATATATATATATATATATATATATATATATATATATATATATATATAACTCTGCTATTTTTATCCGTTGTGTATAGTAGCCTTTCTATCTGAAAGGTATAATTCTGAGTTGTAATTTTTGCAGTTAATTTCTTTCTATCTTTATTTGTGTTGCGGTTAGAATCAAATTTTTTTTTTTTTTTTTTTTTTTTTTTTTTTTTTTGTCGTATAAACATTGTTTTACATAAAGTGAGCATACTGGTATTTTTTAAAAGTGTCTTCTAACTGCTACATCTCCAGTCAGCCAAACATCATCTAGGTACATATATATATATATATATATATATATATATATATATATATATATATATATATATATATATATATATATATATATATATATATATATATATATATATATATATATATATGTATGTATATATATATATATATATATATATATATATATATATATATATATATGTCTGTATATATATATATATATATATATATATATATATATATATATATATATATATATATATATATATATATATATATATATATATATATATATATATATATATATATATATA